AATAATAAGTGCATGACGCCCTTGCTCTGAGAGGCTGTTGAAGGTTCTTCTGGCTGATTTCATGTCAAGCTGAAAGCTCTGTGCTGCCTGTCCAGGTGTTTTATGATCACTTCCGGTACAATTCAATCGGCTGATTAATAGCTTCACTTTGACAGAAAAGCTAAATGCCCTTCAGATGAAATCAGTTTCTTCCTCAGCCCACTCACAGGCTGTCAATGGGCATTTTTCCCCTTTTCTTTGAATCAAGTATTTTTTTAAGCTAGGAATTATGATATTTTGAAATACAGCCTGAAAATCAGCAGTCTACATTTTCAAATACACTCAATAAGATCATTCCGGGATTAAATAAATTGTAAGCTTGGGCTCTATAAATTCATAATTAATGTAAGCAAACATTTTATTATACAACATTTGGCCATTTTTCCACACTGACAGTGTCCCATTGTGCAGAAAAAGATGAAAGTAGTAGAAAAAAAATCACCATATTCTCCAATCAGTTTCCAGAAGATTAATACGATGAGCTGAAATTACAAAAACACATGCCAGAGTTGACAGATGGGAGCTACGACCTTCACGTGAATGGCATAAAATGAGTTTTTATGATTATTTCATTACACCAACACATATTCAGCATAAATTACAATTGCTTGTTTGTATAAATACAAGATACATTGCTGCCTTTTGGTCCCAAACAAATCACAGTGTAAAATAGATACCATTCATAAATGTTTTAAAAGGCCCATCTCAAACGTCACAGGTGATGCCTCCACTTGTTATGCATTAGTGATTAGCAAAGCTATGACGAATGGCAGCAGTAAACATGTCAAGTCAATGGCTCGATTCCTAAGTTATGGTTTAATTCATTAGTGCTGCTCCCAATGCCAATAAACCGGCTTTAACCGCATCCCATTTAAGCTGAGCCAGTTGAAAGAGGTCACCGGGGGACAGTTATAAACATCAAAAGACCATTTGGTTGTACAAAAAGTCACATTTTAAGGTTCCTTCTCATAGTCCATCAGTC